CGAAGGCGGAGGAGGGGGCGGAGGGAAGCCGGGGGCTTGTGCGACTGCGGGCCGGGCCTGGGGGGCACGCGGTGGGTGTGGGGGCGCCGGGCTCACCTACCTCCCGTCAGCGCCGCCATTGCGGGTCACATGACTGAGGCTGTTGCTGGGATGACGGTCCGGGCCTTAGCAACAAGGGGCGGGGGAAGACCCCGAGAGGGTGGAAGGGGATGCCGGGGTGCAGACTGAGCGAGAGGAGGGAGGACAGCACCCTCTCCCCTCGGCGGGTGATAGTTACCGTTTCCTTTGACCTCTCCTACCCGGGAGCCCCTGCCTCTCTGCCCCAGAACAAAAATGGAGGCGCAGATCCAGTCTTCAGAGGGAGGGGTGGCGTCATGTAACCGAGGGTAGGAGGTTAAATCCCTGAGAAACGCCACTCTCTTGGCGTCCCCCCTCCTGGAGGAGCCCTCTCCCCTTTCCTTTCCCAGTCAACTGCGTGGCACCTCTGGGAACTAGTAGTGGATGGGTGCGTGAGCAATGCCGGCGGGTATATGGATTTGGAGGGGAGGGCGATCTTTTGAGATCTTACGCTGTAAGAGCTTTACAGGAAAGATGTTGGATGGGAAGAGTTTTAGTAAAAAGAAAACATTGGTACTACACAATAAAACCTGTGACTAAACTATTTCCATCCCTCCCTCAACTCTGCCTCCTTCTAGAGCGTTACCTCCGGTGACCCCCCACAGCCTGTTGCCAGATGGGGACTGGTGACTAGTTTTCCACAAATAGAGACACAGGTTGGTGCAAAATGTGAAGTAAACAGTTTCTTAATTAAAAAAAAATGGCTTGGGGTGGTGTTGGTGTCAAGTACGTGGCTCAAATAGAGTTAAAAATTCCCAAAGAAAAAAACCTCTGCTCTGCTCCGTTTCCCAGCAGAACAGTCTCCGCCTCCTGCAACTCGCTTCCCTGGGGCCACATCAAGCCAGGTTTTTCCACCAGCCAAAAGACCTCAGCCAAGACGTCCTGAATCTCCCAGACCAGCAATAACCACGTCATCCACCCCTTTCCATCCCCTCCCCCCTGAACTAGAGGACTGGTCACTCCCTCACTTTCCCAGGACCCTGCTGTACTCTTCCTGCCCTCTAAGTACACGGCTTTCCCAGGAAGCCTGGGTGAGCAGAGAATTCCTTCCCAAATAGCTGGTACGAAGTACCAGTAATCAGTAATCAGAGCCCTGGGGAAGAGGGCCGCATCATCTCACTCCTTCCTAGACATCATTACTTCTCAATCACCACGAAGTTGAGGAATGTTTCCCACTCCCGTGTCTCCACTCCACACCTCTAAATCCACAGCCACCTTAGAAACCTCCCACAAACCAGGGAGCCCAAAAACACCTTAAAGACCAATATTTTATTTTTTGTTTGTTTGTTTTTCGAGACAAGGTTTCTCTGTAGCTTTGGGGCCTGTCCTCTTGTAGACCAGGTTGGCCTCCAACACTCAGAGATCCACCTGCCTTCTGCCTCCCGAGTGCTGGAATTAAAGGTGTGTGCCACCAACTCATGGCCATTCCTCAGCATTTTCAAAGGGAAAAAAAATTCTGTGAATGATTAGGACTGAATAATTTATTTTATTGTGATATTGAGAGTAAATACAGATATTATTAATAAAATAAAAATGATGGAAAACAGAAGCAATAAATGAAGATGACCACGCTGCCCATAATACACAACCTCAAGGTTAGAGAATCCAGTTCTAAAGAACGGCTGCTGGTGTCACAGGGCTTTATTGCATCGACAGGGAAAAGGGTGACTGTGGTCTGGAAGAGGTCCAGCAGGTAGGTCCCTCCTACCCGACTGGGCATTCCTTTTGCTGCCTACTTTGGTGTAAAGGAGAAAGGGGAGCTTCTCCCTGAGGACCTTCATGGCTTATGAGACTGACTGGTCAGGCCAGCTACACAGCACTGTCCACCTCTACCCCCACCCCAGAGTGTGGAGGTCTGTCTTGGTTCCAGAGACAAAGACAATCTATCTCATCATCTTTCTTCCCCAAGACAGTCTCGTGTATCCTTGGCTGGCCTCAACCGTGCTATGCAACTGAGGATGACCTTGAATACCCGATTCCCCTGCCTTCATTTCCCAGTGCTAAGATTGTAGGTGTGCACCACCACACCTGGTTTACGAGGCTGGGGATGGAACCCAGAGCTTTGTATATACTAGGCAAGCACTCTACCGACTGAGTTATAATCTCCAGTGCTCAAACCCATACATTTTTTGAGTTTTCCAGAGACCATGTCTCACTCTGTAGCCCAGGCTGCCCACGCTAGCCTTGAACTCTCACCAACTCTGCCACAGCCTCCTGAGTGCTGGGTTTCACAGGCATGAGCTGCCATGCCTAAGCTCCTCTGCATTCTGAGGATATCACGCATTAACTCAGCTATCTTTGGAAGGGACTGGGTGATTGAGTTATGGCTCTGACTCCTCTCTGGGGGTGGGAACTGAAGATGACAAAGAGGCCATCTGTCCCCTGGGAGACACATTAGCAGTGAAAGATGGGGCAGAAGGGAACAGAATAACAAATCCAACTAGAGAAAGTGTTTGAGAAGAGGGGACAAAGTGTGCTAGGTACCTATGTCCAGGGATTGGGGATGCTCCCATACTCAAGATCTCTAACCTCTTGAAATTATGGAAACTGACCCACATGGAACTAGAAAGGGACCTTGGGAGTAACTGGACAGGAAGAAGGAAAACTTCAATAGGGAATGAACCTTGTACTCTGGCCTGTCCGCCCAGCCTCCGATGCCCCCCCTTCGAAGGCTCCACCCCCAGAGAAGGTGCAAGGTTCCTGGAGGTGCAGCAGCAGAGGCCCCACACCTGCCCCTAGGCTTGGGCACTGCTGGCCACGTGGGGCTCTGGACACAGAAGTACTCATGGGTACAAGTCAAAGTGGGGTGGGGTGGAGGAAAAGAATGGGCAGTGATGACGGGACCTTCTCCATTCTCTGTATAGTCACAAAAGTCCACTTAGGTCCTGCCTATGTGAGGTGCCAGCCTGCTGACCACTGCCCACCTCACCTCCAGGCCAGGTTGTCCATGTGTGAATGCCTGCACCCACATCTGGAGTCTCCTGAAAGCCCTCCATTCCAGGGCCTACAGGAAGGAAGCATGCCACAAAGAGCCCTATAAAGGTATTAGCAAAATCCAGACATTCAGTTTGTTCCACACAGCAAAGTGCGTCCAGGGTAGTTGCTTGAGTCACGTCCACTGTCCAGTCAGGTCCCGAGATGGCAAACAACCCCTACCCCCAGCTCCTCCTATTTCATAGAAACAAGATATTTTTCAAAGATCAAGGCACTTAGGAGAGTCAACAACAACACTCTAATGAAGCAAGAGGGCTTACTGGGAGCAGGGAGAGCGGGCAGGAAAGCAGACAAGGGGAGAAAGGAGAGTGTATTTCTCGGGCAGGAAAAGCCTATCCGCCAAGATGGAATGATTTGGAGGGAAGGAGCCTGCAGCCTGAATTTAGCAAAGAAGAGAAGGAGTAGTAGCCAAATTCAGTTCCCCCAAGACTCTCAGAACCCGCCACCTTCAACATAAAGCAGCAATCACCACGGAGTCAGGCAGGCTCTTAGGCAAAGATGTTGGCAATAAAATCCAGGAATCGCTTAGCATACTGCTCAGGATGGACAGTCGAGATCTCTGCCCCGGCCTGTGAGAAGAAATAAGGAACAATGTGTGAGGTACCCACCACCTTCCCCACCTCTGTCCTCCCTCAGCTGCTGGCCTCACACCAGAGGCCTTCTTTCCAGAGGACAGTCAGGCCAAGAAAGGAAAGGCTTAGGGGAACTCTCACCCCATGCTTGACGGTTTTGGCTGCATGAGCTGCTTTCTTCTTGGCATCATACTGTGTTAGAATGTCAATGAGACCCATGAAATAAACCTCCTTCTGGGGGGCCCCTAGGGAGAGAGAAGCAATGAAGACAGGAGTCAATGAGACCCAAAAAATACACCTCCTTTCTGGGGGCCCCGGGGAGAGAGAAGCAATGAGGACAGGGCACAGACAGTCCAATTCCTTTCCCCCTGGAGTCAGTTTTGTTATGAAAAGCTAATCAGCTTCTCCATTCACCACCCCGGTCTCTGTCCCCCAAGGACCCCCACCACCCCCTTAACATTTCCAGGGTCTCTCTCACCCTCAGCACTCCGGATGGCATAGACATCGATGAAGGACTCAAACTCTCCTGGGCCCAGGGGCCGGTGGGAATGGATGTAGCCTCCAATGCCCTCGGGGGAGGTGCCATAGGAGCCCACCAGAGCAGGAGGCCCAGCCAGGTTACAGTCTCCATCCCACTCTGACTCGTCCTCCCGTGCGGGCCCCTCCTCCTCTGGCTCAGAGCCCCGGATGATGTCGTGGATGCCCAGCAGAAGGCTGTAGTCCATGATCTTCAGCTGCACTAGAAACTGAGACCCACGAACACATCAGAAACCCCAGATTTCCCACCCAGCTGCAGCTACCACCCACGCATCTCCTTCCTTGAATCTCTGGGCCCTCCTGGGAAAGGAGCATATGAACTGAGGTCACGGCATACCACCACGAATAGTGCCCCAGTCCTGAAGCACCTCGGACAACTCCCAGCCAGTGCCCCATCCCACTCGCTGCCCCACCACTAGGGATTTTCCCTATTTCATCTGCAACCCCCATTCAGAGAACCCAAAAATAAAGGCAAGAAAAACCTTGTACTATGAATGGAAGACAAAAAGCAAACTGTTCTAAAAAACAATAGGCATTTCTTCTTCTTGTATTAAGTAAGGCACTTCGAAGCACCCAATCCTTACCTCCACATCGCGCTTCAGCTTCTCCAGAAATACTTTCTTCTCTTCTTCACCAATATACACTTTCTGGTTCTTGTTGAGGAAGTCCATATCCTTAAGAGTAGGCAGTTCTTTAACCTAGAAGAGGGAATATACCCCTTACCCAGGTCTCAGAGAACCCTGCCCCACCCAGGACTCTCTAGCTCGGAGGCTCCGAAGGGAGCAGCTGCCCACAGCTTTGCCTGGACTCCACCAGCTGTTCCTCCCATCACGCCCACCACTGTCTGCTCATGGACTGCAGTCAACACCCTCCAGACTGACTTTTCTCCTCCTTCTCAGTAAAGACAGCTACCTGAGCACAGAGCTCAGAGAGAGACGGAGATGAGGATTTTGCTCTTCACACCTGGTACCCCCATCCCCGAACCTTCAACACAGAACAAGCAATGTTAGCGACAGCACAGCCACCCCTGCTGCCCCCCAGATCAGTAGTCTAGGATCTCTTCTCCTTCCAGCAGTTTAAGGTAAGAACAAACAGCTGGCGAGCTGTATTCATCATGGAGAACGGCTTCTTTATCCTAAGCAATCCCTCTGCCCCGCCCCTATCCAGTGTCACCTACAAGGAATATTACCTTTTCCTTATCGCTAGCTTCCCGGGACACTAGTGAGCCCTGTGGAGAGACCACAGACTTAGAAGAAATAACAGAGACCGCCAGAAGCCCAGTCTGTCCCTAAGGGGAGCAGTCAAATCTATACCACTCCTTTAGTAGCAACCACCCAGTGCCCTCCCAACTCTTCCCGCATTCTCAGGCCAAGAGTAGCCTTTCCTTTAGCCCAGGTTATCCTGTTCTTACCTTGAGGTCATACTTCCTGTGCACAGGAAGACGGTGACTAAACATATTTCGCATGACAAGCATGTAGCTGTCCTCATTTTCTACACTGACTCGGTACATGCCCAGGAACTGGGGCAGAAGCGTGTTGCCATGACACTTCACTATGTACTAGGGAAGAAAACGAGAGGAAGGAATAAGGACAGGATGCTAGGAACCGCAAACAGCTCAGGGACAGGAATCTAAGCACGGCTGCTCCAGGGCCCAGCGGGACACCTCAAGCACAGAGGTTGCAAAGTCAAGAGGCAGCAGCTCCCTAAAAATGGTCCTGGCCACCCAGCCTCTGAAGCCCTGCCTGATTTCTTCTATTTACAAATCTCTCGTACTTTTAAAGCACGTTTCCCCATCTCACCGCTGCCGTTCTTTGCTGTCCCACGAGTCTCACGGCTGGGGTGGGTCTATCTCTAGCTTCTAAGCATTATGATCACAGGAATGAGCCGTTTTGCCTCCTTACCTTTATCATTTTTCATGAGGAAGGTAGGTATTGTTATTTTTCTCTCAAGATTTACCACTTTTGGGGGATTCTTTTTTCTGTGTATTCTTTTTTTTTAAATTTATTTATTTATTGTATATACAATATTCTGTCTGTGTGTATGTCTGCAGGCCAGAAGAGGGCACCAGACCTCATTACAGATGGTTGTGAGCTACCATGTGGTTGCCGGGAATTGAACTCAGAACCTTTGGAAGAGCAGGCAATGCTCTTAACCAGTGAGCCATCTCTCCAGCCCCTGGGGGATTCTTTTTTATTAATTCATTTAAATTTATTTTATGTGTATTGGTGTGAAGATGTCAGATCTCCTGGAGCTGGAGTTACAGACAGTTGTGAGCTGCCATGTGGGTGCCGCGAACTGAACCCAGGTCCTCTGGGAGAACAGCCAAGTGCTCTTGACTGCTGAGCTGTCTCTCCGGCCCCCAGGTATTGTTATTCTTATTTTGGACTCTGTGTAAGTGTCACAGAACTGGAATTAAACTTAGATTATTGATGAAATGATTTTATCTAAACCAATGCTTCTTGTTGGGCTAGGTTCCTATAACATGTCTACAAGGAGACTTACAATTAATTTGGATTTTTTTTTAATAAACACTTTTTATTTTTATTTTTTGGTTTTTTAAAATATGGTTTCAATACCCCTGGCTGTTTTAGAACTTGCTGTGTAGATCAAGCTGGCCTCAAACTCACAGATCTGCTTTGAACTCAAAGATGCTGAGATTAGCCGGGCGGTAGTGGTGCATGCCTTTAAACCCAGCACTCGGGAGGCAGAGGTAGGCAGATCTCTGTTGAGTTTGAGGCCAGCCTGACCTACACGAGCTAGTTCCAGGATAGGCTCCAAAGCTACAGAGAAACCCTGTCTCAAAAAACCAAAAAGAAAAATAAAAGATGCTGAGATTAAAGGTACACGCCATCACATGTTTACTTTTCTATTTCTGTGTCTGCGTGAATGCCCCAGGAGGCCAGGGAACTGGATTTACAGACAGTTGTGAGCCACTGGCCACACCCGAGTTCAGATGCTCTGGGGACAGGAAGTGCTCTGCCCACTGAGCCATCTCTCCAGAACATTTTTGTTTTGTTTCCTAAGTCAAGTCAGATGTCATCAGGCTTGGGGTGAAGAGATGGATCTTCAAGAGGACCAGGGTTCAATTCCCAGCACCCACATGGTGGCTCACAACCACCTGTAAGACCCCTGTAAGGTTCCAGGGGATCAAAAGGTCTTTCATGGCCTCTTTAGGCATCAGGTATGTATTTGGTACACAAACATACATGTGAGCAAAACACCCGTACACATAAGATACAACAATAAAATATTAATAATTGTCAAATTACTAAAATGAAATAAGCACTTGATCCTCTCCTCTCTGGTGTATGAAGTCCTTCTGCATATGTGTTGCTTTTATTTGTTAATAAAGAAGCTGCTTTCGGCCAATGGCTTAACAGAATATAGCCAGGTTGGAAGGTATATATATATATATATATATATATATATATATATATATAGAGAGAGAGAGAGAGAGAGAGAGAGAGAGAGAGAGAGAGAAGGCAGAGTCAGAGAGAAGCCATGTAGCTCTGGATGAAACTTGTACGTGGTGATACACAGATTAATAGAAACAGGTTAATTTAAGACATAAGAGCTAGCTAGCAATATGCTTAAGTGATTGACCAAGCAGTGATTTAAATAATACAGTTTCTGTGTGATTATTTTGAGTCAGCGCGGTTGGGAAACTAACAAGCAGCTCCCCCCACCAACACCTCTCCATCCCCTAAGGCTGGTATTATAAGAACCTGGCTTGCAATTTGAATTCTTTGAATTTCTTTCTGACACAGGGTCTCAAACTTCCTATATAGTCAAGGATGACCTTGAACTTCTGAACCTCCTGCCTCCACCTCCTGAGTGCTAGGACGACAGGCATGTGCCACTGTGCCTTGTTTAGACGGTGCTCGTTTTTGTGCACACCAGGCAAGCGCTACACCAGATAAACTACATTCCCAGCCCACAGTTTAAATTTATCATCTGGGTTTGGTGCTACACGTCTGCAATTCCAGAATGTGGGGGTTGAGGAGAGAGGGGTATAAATTCAAGGCCATCCTGAAAACCTGTCTCAATAGAAGAAAAGCTGTACTTCAGGGCCAGAAGTATAGCTGAGTGGTACAGAACCTGGTTCTGGGTTTTGTCCCCTAAAACACACTTCTTGGGCTGGAGATGAGCTCAGCCAGCAGAGGGCTCGTGTGGTGCTCACACCCTACAGTCCCAGCAACGGGAAGTGGAGTCCAGAGGATCAGAGGTCATCTTCAGCTACATGGTTCAGAACCAACCTGGGGTCCACGGGACCCTGTCTCAAACTAAACAAAACCTCTCTCTGCCTTGAAAGATAACCTCAGAAAAGCAATCAACAGAGAGCTGCAAAGGTGGCTCAGCAATTAGGAGCACTGGCTGTTCTTCCCGAGGACCCAAGTTCCATTCCCAGAACCCACACTGCCAGAACTCCAGTTCCAGGGGATCTGATATGATCTACTCTTCTGACCTCCAAGGGTAGCAGGCACATATGTGGTACATAGACAGACAAGCAGGCAAAACACCTGTACACAAAATTTATTTGTTTGGTTTTGGTTTTTCAAGACAGGGTTTCTCTGTAGCTTTGGAGCCTGTCCTGGAACTAGCTCTTATAGACCAGGCTGGCCTCGAACTCACAGAGATCCACCTGCCTCTGCCTCCCGAGTGCTGGGATTAAAGGTGCACGTCACCACCGCCTGTGTCACAAAATTTTCTTAATAAAAATGAAAGCAATAAATAAGCCCTTATTCATGGAAATACCCTAAATCTCTGAAATCCAATTTTAACCCTCAAGTCCTCAACGGTCTCCTCCGGCGGGGATTATTCAGCTGTGCACCTGATCCTCAGACAGTGGGGGCCCCCCACCCACTCTGCCCTCTCTGGTGGCCTCCTGTCCTGAGAGTCTTTCTGGATGCACTCAGGGCATTAATAATCCACACTGCCCACCCACACTTAGTCTCCTTCTTGGGCACTTTACTTGTCCCTTAAAATTTATATTTTATTTTATATTTATGTATTTTTGGTTTTTTGAGACAGAATTTCTCTGTGTAAAAGCTCTGGCTGTCCTGGAACTCACTCTGTAGACCAGGCTGGCTTCGAATTCTCAGAGATCTGCCTACCTCTGCCTCCCGGGTGCTGGGATCAAAGGTGTGTGCCACCTCACCTGACGAAAATTTTTATTTTTAAGAAATATTTTATTTTTATTTGTGTGTCCATATTCTTCCTTTCAAAACCACAGTGATGTTAAGTGGTGATGAATGGTTTTAATGAGCACTCACTTATGTAGAACCCCTAAAATGACACCATTAGTCTATTCTTTCCTGAATTCTCAGCCCACACCCTAGTCATCTCATGGACATCTGAAATCGGGAAGAACTGCATAAGCCACATCCAAACCCACACTATCTTTTCCCGGAAGCCTGCTCCTTTCTGCTTTCTGTTGTTGACAGGTGGTACTGAGCACTCGGAGGCTCCTTTGCCTTGAGTCCCAGCATCCTCACAGGTCTCCCATGCCCCTGCCTTCTCCTGCAGATGCTCCTCAGTCTCTTCTCACACTAAAATCGGCACCTCCACTCTCAGTGCCCCCCAGCCTACCCTTATATGCTGTCAGAGGGACATTCTAGATGTCTTCTCTCTCTCTTCTTCTGTCTATGGTACTAAGGACAGAAGGTAGGCCTCACACATGCTGGGTGTGAGCTGGACGCCCAGCCCTTCCTTTCTAAACATCAGACATCCCAGTTCCCTGAATCTCTGTGACTCACAGGCCCTTCCGTAGTTCGGCTCTAGTTTAATTTTCCTAACAGCACACATCCCAGCCGCACTAGGATTCCCGCGGTTTCCTAGCACTGAACACGCCCACGGATCCATGCTTTAACAAATACCATCCCCTTGCCTAGAGTGCCCTCTGCCACTTTGTCCAGTAACTAACCTCTACTTCCAGTCACTCAAACCAGTGCTGGGGTTGGCACCACAGCTCTGCAGCTACAAGTGCTTTTGCCTAAGCCTACCAGCTTCAATTCAATCCCCGGAGCCCAGATGATAAACGAAGAAAGCCAACTCCCTGAGCTACCTCCCCTCCATAAGCACACTGTGGCATGTGTGCACCCCAGTAAATAAACAAATGTAAAACACGCATATATTTTATCGAGACAGGGTTTTTCTGTACAGCCCTGGCTGTCTTGGAACTCACTCCATAGACCAGGCTGGCCTTGAACTCACAGATCCACCTGCCTTTACCTCCCAAGTGCTGGGATTAAAGGTATGTGGCCACCACACTCGGGTTAAAAATAAAAAGTTTAATTTAAAAAGTATCAGGGACTACAGCAATGGCTCAGCAGTTAAGAGCACTGGCTGCTCTTGCAGAGGACCCGGGCTGATTCTGAGCACCTATATGGCAGTTCGTGACTGTCTATAACTGCAGTTCCAGGAGATCTGACACCCTCTTCAGGCCTCTGAGGGCACCAGGCACATACACACACATGGTACATTGACATACATGCAGGCAAAACACCCACAAACATAAAATAATAATAAACTGAAAAAAGAATCAATCCCTGGGGACCAGTGAGGTGGCTCAGTGGGTACGAGCACTTGCCACCAAGCAGGATAACGTGGGCTTGGTCCCTGGAACCCACATGGCAGAAGGAAGGATGGCCAACTCTAGAAAGTTGTCCTCTGACCTCCAAGCTCATGTACACAAAATAAACAAAGAAACGGTGGCTTCAGATGATGGGTGCCAAATGGGAAGGGACACATCACGTCTACTAAATCAAACACAAGCAGGCAGGAAGAGGCTCTGTGAGTGTTTCTGCAACTCTTAAGTTTTCACAAAGAAGACCAAGTGCTGCTGGGGGAGCCGCACAGCTCGCAGGAGGAGGAACGGGGGGAGACTGACCTGGTGGTAGTTGGACAGGTTGCTGTGCATGTCCGCGATGTCCTCGCTGGACACTTCTTTGATGACTAGCGTGCGGTCATAGGAGATCAGAAATCGACCATCACTGCCTTCGCTCTCGCTCGGGGGGCTTCGAGTAAGGGACACCTAGAGACAAAGACCGGCTGTAAGCACGTGCACCTTCTGCTTCCTAGAAGATAGGAGGGTAATGGCCAAACAGCTGCTTCTCAGAGTGGGATGAAACTGCAGTAGCGCCTGTCGCAATGGTTCCCAAGCCTGACGACCTCAATTACATCCCCAGGTCCCACAGGGTGGAAGAACACAACCACTTCCAGAAAGGTTTCCTCTGATTCCCACAAACACACATTCACTAAAGCCACCTGCACCCACAATAAATAAATAAGATGCAAGAAATCCGGGGGAAGAGATTCAGCAGGCGTTCTTAACTGTGTTACCACACATAACTGAATGAAACCGAACGTAAAACTCTAAAGTATATACATCCTGTCTCCCCAGGACAGCTCGATCCGTCTCATTACATTTTCAAAGATGCCCCCCCCACAACGGTATTAGCCAAGGCTCTTGGTTCTCTAAACATAACTGTCCAACAGACTCTCTGGTTGTTGGGGACTACCCTCACCCCACAACAGACTCTCTAGTTGCTGGGGATCACCCTCACCCCACAACAGACTCTCTAGTTGCTGGGGACTACCCTCACCCCACAACAGACTCTCTAGTTGTTGGGGACCACCCTCACCCCACAACAGACTCTCTGGTTGTTGGGGACTACCCTCACCCCACAACAGACACTCTAGTTGTTGGGGACTACCTTCACCCCACAACAGACACTCTGGTTCCTGGGGACCACCCTCACCCCACAACAGACACTCTGGTTCCTGGGGACTACCCTCACCCCACAACAGACACTCTGGTTCCTGGGGACTACCCTCGCCCCACAACAGGCTCTCACCAAGTAGTCCTGATCATCAATGCCAAACCGGTCACGGAGGTTCCTGAAGACCTGGGGACAATATTCCTTGAACTTGAAATGACTGGGCAGATTTTCTCTGAAATACAGGTGTTCAAAGTAAGAAAACAGAATCACTCTACACTCATTGAAACTTGGTTGTTTATAAAGTATTACGTTATAAATAATCGTTACAACCATCGTCCTACTGTCTGATTTCATTCTCACAAAACCCTGTTACATATTTACTAAGTTAGCTATTGTCTTTATTTGGGTGGAGTATGTGCTCAAGTGTGTGCGTGTGTGGTGCACTTGAGTATGTGGGTGCACACACCTCTGTGCTCAAAGATGGAGACCAGAGGATGATGTCCAGTGTCTTCCTCTATTGCCCCTCCCACCTTATTGCTTTGAGAGTGAACCCAAAGCCTAGCATTTCTTATAGGTTGGCCCCTCAGCAAGTTCCCAGGATCCGCTTCTCTCTGCCTTCTCCAATGCTGGGAAAATGGAAACAGAGCTATGCCCAGATTTAAGTGAGTAGTGGGGCTCAGGTCTCAGAGCCTGCGACACAGGTGCCCTCTGCAGCAGGCTGAGCTGTCTCCTCAGCCCCAACTTTATTTGTTGTCTTAGTTTTTTTTGAGACAGGGTTGACCGAAATGTTATGCAACAGAGGCTGGCCTTGAATCCTGATGCTCCTGCCTTGTCTTCTCACCATGATTGGCTCCTCAAAGCGCTTTACAGGATACACTGCTAACATCCTACAGAAAGGAACACTGTCTCAGAGTGCCCGAGTGACCTGCCTAAGACAGGTCGTGCAGTTGATAAATGGTTTAAGAAGAACAGGGGCTTACTGTGCATCCAAACAGTAGCATTTCTTAAATCTCAAGCTTGGTAGAAATACCCTAAAACTGGCAGTGTTACTGATATTTCGAATGGTCATCTTGTACTAAAGGGGGATTAGAGGTCTCAATTATTTTTCACAGAATCCTACCAGATGATAATGATAAAGGCAACTGAATCCGAATGTATTTATTTGATGGACCGACCAGAAGACAAAAGGTGCACATATAAGAACATAGGTAACTCTGAAAATATTTAAATTTCAAATTTTTAAATTAATTAATTTATTTATAGGTTATTTTTGAGGTAGGGTCTCTTAGGAGTCCTGGCTATCCTGTAGCTTGGTATGTGGACCAGGCTGGCCTGGAACTCACAGAGATCTGCCTGTCTCTGCCTCCTGAGTGTTGGGATTAATGTACCACATGCATTTATTTATTTATTTATTTACTTACTTACTTATTTATATGTGCACACATGTGTGCACGTGTGTGCGTACGTGCGTGTGTCTGTCCTAGGGACTAAATTCAGGCTGTCAATCTTGGTTAGCTACAGCCCTTACCTATTTAGCCATCTGTTGGCCTTTAGATGTTTATGTTTATTTGTTTGTTTGTTTTTCACAAAACTGAACTTTTGCTTTAGAATGGACATGAGACTGTAAAACTTGTAAAAATTGACTTCTATACCTAAAACCTTCAACTCAACATTTTAAAACTATTTCCTGTTCTCTCTCTCTCTCTCTGTTTTTTTGAGAAAGGGTCTCACTGTGTAGTCCTGGATGAACTCAGAGAGATCTGCCTGTCTCTTTTTCCTGAGTGCCAAGATTAAAGGTGTACTCCACCAGGCCTGAATCCTGTCTAGTTTGTGTGAGTGTGGGTACGTGTGTGCCACAAAGCTCATGAGGTCAGAGGGCAGCCTGTGTGTCACTTCTCTCCTTCCACCAGGTGGGTTCCGGATGCTGAACTCTTCTCCCAGGGCTTGGCAGCAGTCACCTTACCCGCTGAGCCACCCCGCTGACCCCCTGCCATTCCTTTTCTGAATTTCCCCGAGAAGGGGGAAGACCACTGACCTGTGGAAGAGGTGATTGTTGACCTTGATCTTGGAGCTAGCCTTAAAGTCATCTGGCAATAACATCACCGGAGGAGGCACCTGGCTGAGCTCATTGATCTGAGGGGCCAAAGCACAAGGAGGGAAGTGGTGAGACGCTGGGCCTAGGCCAGAGTCAAGAGCAGGCAGCGCAAACCTCATTCCTAACGACCTCGGCAGCACGTCTGCAAGAAGTGAGAGAAGTAGCCTAGACGTGGGCTGCCCGAGGACAGACACCCCCACCCCCAAGGAACTTCACGCTCACAACAGCCACTTTATATTTGGCAAGCCCTGCAAGCAATCAGGACTATTTTTAAAGCTGTGAGAAATTCTAGAAAAAAAAAATTTAGGGAAGAAACAAACCAAGAACCCAAGACAGCTATATGCTTTGTTAGGGAAAGAAAAGGCATTAAGGGCAGAGTTCACGGGACTCTGGGGTCTCAACAGCAGGACGGAACACCTGACTGTATACAGTGTCCCTATACCCCGACTAACTCCTTAGAAAGAGGACATTCCAGATAGCTCTGACCCAGATCTCAGCAGTACATGCCCACTGGCCTAGGAAGAAAGTCAAGGAAGAAGAGCTAGCTGATCTCTGAGGAGATGAACACTGTCACTGTATACATACTCGCTAGGGGTCTGCCCCTAAATGGAAGTCAACCAACAAGAGGAAGGACAAAGGCATCATATGCTCTCCTCAGTTCCCAGACTTGCGTGAATTCAGGGTAGAAACCTAGTCATTCTTTCTCCTTGGGGTTACTATGTGCCCCCCTTACCTGCCTCTAATAGTGTATCTGCGATGGCACTCTAATCCCCAGCTTACATAAGTCCCTCCTCCTAGCTTTGAGCTCTTCAAGGACAAGGGCTCATCCTAATGGCCCGACTTTTTGATGCTTAGCACAGTGTCTGGCACATGAACTGTTTATGAAATGGATAGATGAATGCCTTGTCTGCCCTTCCGTGATCACTATTTAACAAAGCTTACGATCTAACCTAAATCCCACATGTCGGAGAGCGTGCGACCGCTCTGGTCCCCGGGAGAAAGGAGGACAGGACATGTTTCTCCAGGGAAAAAAGAAACAAAAAAAGCCACTTGAGATTCCCAGCTTAAAGTCAGCTACCGCTCTTCCTGCCCCCTCCTCGCCACCTGCTAAGCAGGCTGAATCATCGCTAAGGCATATGTTCAAGGAATTTCTCTGCTCTACACACTTGAGGTACGTGTGTGCAGGCTGGGAAGTGGGGCGTTGAAGTTAAAGTATTTTACCCAAGGAACATGAGGCGGGTCTTACAGGTAACTCCACCAATTCTTACCAAAGGAAAAACCTCCCCTGTGTGTGTGTTCCACAGGGATGGGAAGTCACCTGGAAGGGACCTCGAGGGAAGCAGCCCTGTTTCCATTAGTCTTACCCACAAGGACCTCTCGGAATGCTCACTAAAGACATCACTGCTGAGAGAGCAGCAGAGGCAAAAGGGAGAAAACTGACCACCAGTCACGTTCCGGTTACAAATTAAGAACAAGACAGTCTTCCGCACCCCCTTACACCTCCACACCCGTATCCTGACTACCACTCAAAGCTGATAACCAAAATAGTCGCCGTTAAGCTGAAGCCCACCCCGGCCTCCTACTCCCCAGCTGAGAAAGGAGAAAATCAGCTACACTTCACTAGCTTTGGCTCCTACGATATATCCTCAGGAAAGGAAGATACTGGACTCCTCAGCCTCCTCCCCAAGCTGCATCCTTCCGAGTCCTTTTCGGGGTTCCAAAGCTCACAAACTCACAAACAGGACCCTAGGATCACAGCTCCTCAGCCTTTCCCTTGGTTACAATTTACTTCATTTACACCAAATATCATCATTCCATCCAACAGTGGGATACAGCTAAGACCGTATGTATGAATGCATTACGTCCTGAGTGAGTGCATCCCTTAGGGTCAGAGCTGGGCGGCTTCTCTGAAATGCTGCCTCTGGAAAGGACAAGCAGGGTTAGATGATCCAAAAAGCTCAGAGCTATCCCCAGACAAAGCCAAGGCTCGAAAGTCAAGCACTGGGGGCTAGAAAGCAAGGTGGAGAGGAAATCCAACTACTTCCTTCGCCAGGCAGTAGTACCCCGACACGCTTCCCACACTCTCGCACCCGGACCTCACCAACAACCCTTTAGAGCCACTCCCCTTAATGTCCCTCTGGCTGGAGCCGGATTCTGGCCAGTCCCTGTAGCCTGAGGGTGGACCCGGCAGGAAGGAGTCCAAGGAACAGAGCTGGATTTCAGGTGGAGAAGATGGAACTCTAGGGGAGGAGTAAAGGACAGAGGGAGAGACAAGGGTCTACAACCAGAAGACAGCCTGAGGGACCCCGGGGAATGGTGCGCTGGGAACCGGGGCAGGGGAGAGGTGGCAGCGCGAGGAGCTTTGGACGCCGGACCCAGGTGACCCAGGTCGAGGGGCAGGAACTGGGGTCCCGGACCGGTTCTTACCGAGTGGGCGACGCCCCACAGGAACACGCCCACCAGCGGGTCGGCGGCCCGGAACACCTTCACTTTCTGCTGCACGAAATGCTTCTTCTTGGTTTTGGAGGCAAAGCCGAATCCTGGGCCGGGGCCTCCAGCAGCCGCGGGTGCGGTGGCGGGAGGGACGGAAGAGGACGCCATAGTCTCCCGCGCACCCGAGCGA